TTTTGTAGATTTATAAATTGCATTATCTTTTTATTGCTTAATAGCACGCTATGTTATGCCTTAGTAATAACAAAATTAGTTACCACATGTTGAACTTCCCGGTACTCCAGACACTTCCTATTATCTCTGCATTTGGAACAACTCTTTAAGCCAGGGGTTATTTTCCCATTTCATAGATGAAAACACAAATGAGCAGAACCAGCCCTGAAATCAGCTCTCCTGCCTCATGCGGACGTCGTTCCTTGGCGCTACCCCTCCCAGCACTCCAGGGTCCAGGTGCTGTCCCATCTGGCTCTTGAGGGCAAAGAGAGACCCTGAGAGAGCCTCAGGGGTTTGGCCTGGCCACTAAGCTTCCACCAGGCTAGGGGCTTCTCACCAAACCCAGGGGAGGAAGAAATGTCAAGATCCAGGAAGCCAGAAAGGAAGTTTAGCGGTTCACCAAAGCCCAGGGGAGTAGAAACATTTATGACAGCGGAGATTTGGAGCCAGGAACAATGACACCACGGTGAGGTTGATGACAGCTCCTATTTACTGAGTACCTGCTGGGTGCTAAGATCTGAGTTCAGTGTTTACTGGAAACAAAGAGGAATGCAATGAAGAACAATCTGCTTTCTGAGTAGCAGTAGAGGGGTCAGATGGCCGGGATAAAGGCCAGGAGGGGCTCCATGAAGAACACCAGGGCCCTGCAATGCTACAGGGACAAAACGCTGCCCCCGAGGAAGCTGGGAGAATGACCCAAAGCAGCCAGCAGCAAATATACATATCTTTGAAGTGTCCTTTAAAAAAAATGCCAATTTGGTATTCGATTTCATAATATATGTGTATGTTTTCATATAACAATACCCAACACGCCCCCCAACACACACACCAAATCCTCAAGTAGAAGGACTCCCCAGGAGGAGCACTCCCCTGTTTATCCTGTGACCTCCTGGCCCCAGGGACATAGCTCTGCTTCCCCATCCCTGCCCCCAGCCCTATGACAGGCAGGCAGCTGGGGTGCCTTGGGTTGGGGGGGAGTCCTGACACTTGGCAATGGTTCTTCACATTCACCTTAGTCCTGAGCTCGTTTCATACCAATATGTATTGGGTGGATTTCAATCTCATCGAAATAGTTGATGACAGTCTCATCTTCAGTATTGAGGTCCCGGTAGTTACTCAGAGCCCGGAGGAAGCGGTCCTGGCTGTAATGGGTCCCCACCACAATGCTCTCAGGAAGGTTCATCACCCGCTCCTTCAGGAACTCATCCGAGGCGTCCAGCACACAAACGAACTCTGGGGAAAGAGAGAGAGGCTCCTGAGTTAACCCAAGGATGAAGGAGCAAACTTGCAGGTGCTGGTGGCCGGACCAGTGCTTAACCCGAAATGTCCAGTTACCAGGCTAGACCTCATGACAGACTGGCCTCCTTGCTGCCTCTCATGGAAGATACATAGATAAAAATCACTGACATTTCCAGACACTACCTGATGAGGCCCAACCAGCTGGTATTTTGTGAGATCTGTTATTTTTCTATTTTTTCCTTCTTTCCTTCCTTCCCTTTTAAAAAAAGCAGCAGAAATTGGAAATAGCAAATCTCTGATAACCCTGTGGCATCAACCGCCTCCCAGTCAACCCCCACTTCGCCCTTTTCCCAGCACGGCATCACGGGCTCCCAGAGAGACTAGCGGCTGAGCAAACTGATGGCCAATTTGGCAAATTAATAAAAACAAGGACTCCCCTTGGGATTTTAATTTCCCAAGGATCCAGCTCTCTTCTAACTTAATGCAATTGGCTAGGAAGCATCTGCCTTCCATTCAACAGAGCGCTTATCTGATGTTGGACACGGGGATCAGATTAATGATGGGGATCATTTCACCCACCTGTGATTTTCTTTCTCTTTTTCTTTTTTTAAAAGGTTTTATTTATTTATTTGACAGAGAGAGAGCGCGAGCACAAGCAGGGGGAGCGGCAGGCAGAGGGAGAAGCAGGCTCCCCACTGAGCAGGGAGCCCGACGTGGGGCTCGATCCCAGGACCCTGGGATTATGACCTGAGCCGAAGGCAGATGCTTAATGACTGAGCCACCCAGGCGCCCCCAACCTGTGATTTTCTTTTAAACTGAAAGCAGCTGTTTCTCCAGCTTCTTGTATAAGTTCAGTAGATATTTGTTGAGGGAATGAATGGTTAAAGTGCACATCAGTGAAATAGACTTTCTACGTGAGTTACTATTCTCAGAGGTTCTCAACACGGTCAGAGTACAAGGGTGCCCAGATCATTAACCAGGTGTATTGCAAATAACTTGCTACCTGTAAGAGTTTGGCAAAGCATGGAAATGGTTTAATTTTTATCCTAAAATTGTATTGGTTCCCTGTGGGCTAAATCCGGCCCATCATCTGATTTTGTAAATCAAGTTTTATTGGGACATTTAAAGATTAATTAATTAATTAAATTCTCTTGGTTTGCCACATAATAATGCCATTTTCACTCAAACGCATTCTTTTTTTTTTTTTTAAGATTTATTTATTTATTTATTTGAGAGAGAGAATGAGAGAGAGAGAGCACATGAGAGGGGGGAGGATCAGAGGGAGAAGCAGACCCCCTGCTGAGCA